TTTTCATAGATGGGGTTTTGTAGTCATTTTATAATAACAAATAACCTGGATTACTCACAAAACAGATTTTGTAACGTCGAAATAAAATTTTAGTTCTTGATACGTCGATAAGATAGATGAAGCCAAAAAAAAATATCTGTAGTTGCAGCACCATTTTTAAACTGAATACATTTGAAAAATGATTATCATATTGCTGTATAAAAATTATCTGTTCTAACTTACCTTTCCATCAATTAAAGTATTGTGTTGACTGGCACTTTAGATAAAGAGTACATTTTTATTATTCCCAAGTGAAATAACCTCAAATTTATGAGTTATTAGTTTTTAATTCAAGCCTAACAGTAGAGTTTTTGAACTGGAGTTATTCGTAAATATCATGTGCAAATTTAGTATTCCATTTTTGTACCTAATAAATAAGCTTTGTTAATGTTTGTAAAGATTAAAGAAAAACTAAAATGTCTACATTATACACTTATTTACCTTCTGGTGTAAATCCAAACTTTTCAGCAAATTGCATAATTTGATGAAATCTCACTTCTTTCATTTGATCAAAACTTTTTTCGATTATTTCATTTCCAATTTTATCTTCATTACTTTTATCAAGCTGTAGTTCTGGTGTCCATTCAAATTTTATATTTTCTTTACAAGTATTATCAGATATACTTGGAAATAATTGACTGTATAAATTCAATTCAGAAGTCATTAACTCTTCATTATTTTGATTATTATGTGCTGTAAACAATGTTTTATATCGATTTTCATCATATGGATGAAGTATAACAAATGGTGAAGTATTCAAAGGAGATTTTCGTGATTTTCTGTGTAATGACATTTCTTCACTTAATTCCTATGTTAATCCCAAAATGATCAAATTTAAATATTCAGGTTGACAAAATAAATCATTTTAAAATTATAAGATCGTAATAATCACTTAATTGCATTTCTGTATTAATGCGTTTATAATTATCTGATTACAATTACTAGAGTTACTTATAATTTAAAAGTACTTTACTCACACTAGTACAAGAAATGTTTAGTTATGACAAAGTATCATAATATTATACTGTATATTGATTCAAAATGAAGTATTTTCAAAGTAATAATAAGTCCTTATGAAATTCTTAATTAAACTATCAACACAAACATGTTGTGCGATAAAAGCTTGTGTCGACTATTGTCAGTAATACGTGATATATAAGTATCTATTTGGAAAAATACTCATCTATAATGATAAACATAAACTCACGAATACGGCGACAGTGTTTCCTATAAAAAAGAATGAATATTTGCTATTTGACCAGTAGTAATTCTATTCTATAAGCTAGCTGTGGACATTTTGTTATTTTTAACAATTCAACGTTATTTGAACAAGATGTAATTCATTTACAAAATTCAATAATTGACCCGTAAAGAAAGATATTAACTAAGTTTAGTAGTGTGATTAAAAAATTAAGTAACTTTACACCAGACCCTTATCTGGAAATACTGTGGTGGTTGTGAATTAACTTGTTTCTCAAATTCAAGGTATCACAAAATTTAAATTATAATTCTATCACAATTTTTCTTCAAATAATTAGATTAGCAGTTAATCGAAATGCAGTAGTTTTTTATATTACCTACGTAGGTTTGAGTAATATTGTTTTCCTGTATAAATCTTCTTTGGTAGACTAACAGAAATAAAACTAGAGATTACTAACGTATAGAAAAACTGAGAAGTTTTTGCGGTGTTGCTACAACTAAAAATGAAACACATAGAAAATAAGTCCATCAAAATTATTAAGTAAAACTAAATTGGTCGATCGTCCAAGCATAAAAAATCAATTTGTTTACTTCAAAGTTATATATTATGAGGTATAACACTTTCCTAGTGTCATATTTTTTATAAACTGGCGACCTCGATCAATTAGTACATAGATTTCAAGGACATCAATTAAAATCCATAAACTTGCTAGTTCAATGTTTGACTTAAATCAAGAAATTTCAGTTGTTATGTGTTATGTTCTAATGGCCTGTTAACTATCATGTGATATGATCGCCAATTAGAATACCAACTTACTGACCAGGCCAATAACGCATTAACCAGTGCAAGTAGTCCAGAGTCAATTCTGAGTTCTTATTGTTCCGCCGAAATAGTAGCTTCTTGCCTAACCCAGACAGTTTGGTTCAGAACACCAATATCAGCCTCCGTTATACGAATTATATATTTTAGACATACTGAACTTATGCACAAACAAACCAGACTATATCATATCATAAAATAAATAAATAACAATTATGCAAGATCAGGCTGAAAAAGTGGCTATGATCGTGAGGCACTGTAACTAATAGATTTGGAAGAACTTATGGATAGTAAGTCATATAGTAGTAGTTAATAGGTCAGACGGAATCTTATAACAAGAGGAATATGAGCATACATACAATATAGTTACTTAATAGTTATAAAATAAGAGTATATATAATAATAGTTCACAAATAGATCCTAGCGGTTACTATTCACCTATTCTTCGTTCAGATATAACACTTGAAAGCCTTTTAACTGAATTAAACTGCATAATGCATTATGTAGTTTTTATGGTTTAGTTATTCTTTAATTTGACTAGCCATTTTGATAAAGTCGAAGTAAAGTTGGGACAAATGTAAGGCTGATTAGGTGAAAATATTTACTCGATAAATTTTATACCAGTTCTAACATATTGGAAACTAAGTAGAACATGTAAGTGGGTTGGTTGGGTTTTAGAAATGTAAAATGACCATAAAAATTGAATACCATCACTTAAGGAATTTAATGGACTTATTAAGTAAAAAATAAGCATATCTAATTATTTTGCCCTTATTACGTTAGTAGATGTAGCAACGTGAATTGACTAGCTATTCTTTTTCGTACCAATATCATTTTAATCACTTCGTCAATCATATCAATTCACTATTATAGTCTCTGTAAAATACCATGGCAAATAGCATCTATAGTCAAAAACAATCTTTTTGGGTGGAAACTCTTATATTTAGTCATCTACATTCCAATCTAGAAAAATTTCTATTCATATTTCTATATACTTTTTTCATGTAAATCTTTATGAAAAACGACTACTTTTATGCACATTAAAATTTAACTACGATTTAGCATCATTCCTTAAAGTTTACGTTATTTCTCTCTTAGTTGTGCAAATTTTGACAAAAGATATGTAGTTCAAAACTATAATAAAATTCAACTAGAAACTAAAACCTCGATTGGTAATGAAAATTCTCTTCTAAATGAACACATTCGGAGCTCGTCATCGTGCAAGTTAATGACTGTCAGTTGTTGGTGAAACTTAAACTCTGACAAAATATCGGTTTAAAATAAAATAATTTAAAGTCATTTGTATGACTGCTGTCTGTTCGTAATAAAAACTATCTTTCAAATAAACATCATCACAAACCAATTAACTAAACCAATTGTTTTACGTTATATTCTTTGTTTAATTTTATTTGTTTTGCTATGGAATGCACCACTTCTATGACATGTTTCTATGGGTTTTGTTGTTTTATTTTAACATTTTTATTCTTTTTAGTCGAATCAGTTTTTAAAAAATATTAATTTTAGCTCCTATTTTCAGGTCATTTTGATTTTCAGACCTTTTCAGGCTTTCTACAGTTTAGCAATATGTTTTAATATGTTGTGTAACTTTTCACAACGACTACAAGACTAAAACAAATGACATCCTAGAAAAAAAGTATTTATAATTGTCTCATTACACTCGACATGTTGCTATATTATTATGTGGGAGGGTGTTTTGAAAACACTTACTCTCTATATAGAATAGATGGACTGTATTCAGCAGTAGAACCTGAGAAGCGCATTTCATCTTGATTGAGACCTGGTAGTAGGAGGTACCTATATTTTAGTGTTAGTGCTCACACTGAGACCCGAACCTAAAACATACTACTGCAAACGTCAACGTGACATCTCTTAAACCAATAAGTTCACATGGATACAATCATATTCAGTTGGTATGGGATTTATTATTCAGATACTTATAATCCAGATACATTCACCCTATGACATCTCAAATATAATAAAACACACGTCCTGAATTTCACTGTTAGCCAAAATCCATTCATTTCAAATAACTTTTGACGGACACATCAAGTCATCAGGCAAAGGACCCATCTATACCAACAAAGGCCGGTCAAAACTCAATCCTAAATATTAACATTGAGACAACTAAAACCGTTAATATTAATGGTATAAATTATTCTATCTCACTGCTAAGGAGTCCCACAACAGGATGAAACGATCACCCAGTGCTTCGAGGTGTTTCATGATGGTATAGTTTCAATTAACTCATGATCTCAACTATTAAAATTATTCTATAATAATTTTAATAATACTCAGTGTTCAGATTCAACAGTAAAAGGTTGAAATTGATTTTTAAATGAATAAAACCCATTTTTAAGGTATCAAAATCAAGTTATTTAACAGTCTGTAAAATATAACAAGAAATTTTAAATTAAAAGTAATTTGTTGAAATTAAAATTACTATGATTGTCTTCACCTTTGTTTGAACTAATCAATAAAATAAATAAATAACATATTTGTGATATCCCAATGAGTAGAAAAATTAGTTTTTCTGACGTTTCGTGACTTAGTGTAAGCCACTTCTTCAGAATTGCCTACACTAAGTCACGAAACGTCCGAAAATCTAATTTTTCTACTCATTGGGATATTACAAATATATTATTTATTTATTTATAACAATCTACCCAATGCTTAATTTACTCGAAATTATCAAGTCAAACCTTGGTAATGATACCTAAAATTAATTAAAATTTATTCAATGTATAACTTATTACTCTATTGTATATTATTAAATTAGAAAACACCATACTTTTCAGTTTGTTTACTATATTGCCTACTATGGAAATAATTTTGGCAATGAATGTATATTCTCTTAACAATTGTTAATAATTAGTTTGTATAGTGATATGAAGTCGTAAAAATAAATATCTTTATTAGAAGTATTTTATTAAAATAGTTGCTACAGATCATTTGTATTACTAAAAATGAACCCATTACAAAGTTATCCAGTATTATTTGAACATCACTGTTGGGTTTTAAATGATAAGTAGTTAAGTAACATATAGTGTTTAATTAAAACACATTCAATGCATTCAGTGATCAGTTAGTATGGTATAATATTACATAATTAGTTGTGAATTCATTTCCTTGATGACAGTGTGGCGAAAATTTTTAAAGATGCTACAAAACTTGAAGAACAGGTTTGTGCAGTTTTCGAATTTTGTTTGACTTTTTATAAAAGTAGTGTATTTTCTCCACATATTGTGAAGTTTTGATGTACAAACAATCATTTACTGTGTAAAATGGTTGGAAGTTATCGGTGAGAGACCCTATGACTAGTTTTTGTGCTCTATAGTACTAGCTACCACAGTGTACCTGTAATCTTGAAGAAATTAATGCTGCCTGTCAGATTCAATCACGTGTCATTCAAACCGATTGCCACAGTGAAATTTGATTGGCAGAATTTGATCAGCGCTAGGAAAGAGTTGAAAAACAGAACATTATTCATCACTCGATGATAAATCGATTGTAAATCCATTTACCTTCCATCCAATAAAGTTAGTTTCTAGAATTAGTATTGTCTTATCATATCGTGAAATCAATATTTGTAATCACAAAAATGAACGAATATTGCTGGACGATATAAATTAGCAATGTAATTTCATTAAAAGTAAATAATCAATATGGTGGTGTAGAAAAATTTACGCTGACGTAAAATTTGATTATTATTGTTAATAAATTAACAGAGAGAATCGGAATAATGATAGTTTATGATATTAGTGCCCTAAATAACTCATCATACAACCCAGTAATCCTATCTTAAATTAAGTTATGCGACTTAGGCGACTAACTTATAGATTTTGCTTAAAAGCATACGATTAAAAGTAAGAAATTTACATCTATAGCTTTACTGTAGTGTATTAAATGAGCGATGACGACATTTACACATTTCAATAAATTTTTAGTGAATATTTTTTAGGCCATTATGATAAAATATTAATTGCGTTAATTCAGAAAGGACAACATATCTCCGACAGAACCTAATATCTCACGAGATCACTGGAGTACTGTAAAAGTACCACGCACATACACAAACATAACATTGGGCGTGGCTTTGTCAATTTCAATCCACACCATACTCATAATCACGGGTTCAAGATCTTGTATAACATGGTGGAAAATAAGTTACATTTACGCAGTTATACTCATTCTCACAAGTTAAACAATATTCTGAAAGTCATATGTGTTTAGCCCATTTGTAAATAAGCTAAAGTAGAACTGTCAAATAAATATAAAAAAGCAATTCAATTTATCTTTAAGGTAAAGAGGTCATATATGTATATATAGTTATTATTCCAGTTATGCACATTCATTTATGCCAATTGTTTTACACTATCTTAATGTAAATTTTTATCACATATTTGGTTGTAAGCAGCTGATGAGAAACCTCGAAATATTATGAATTCATACTATTCTGCATCAATATTTGTTCTTGCTTTCGATATTGTTTCTCATACTATGTTTCTCAGATTGTTGATTCTCTTTGACCTCAGTGACGTGAGATATAAAAACTTTGACTGATGAACACCCATTTCAGGAACTTTGTTTATGGTGACTGACGGTTTGTCACAATGAGGACGTAATAAATATTGAATAACTCAAAGTCGTACTTTAAATAGAACTAACATCTCAGAATGAATAATTGAATGATTTTTAAACAAAATATCGTTTGATAATAACCTCGACAACTTTTAAAATAAATCACCTTACTTACATAATTTTGGTTTTTAGTTTGAAGTTAAAGATTCAAATATCGAATAATTTGCTCTATGTAGTGACTAAAAGAAAATCATATAGTGCAGTGACTTACAACTCTCTCTTCTTCAGTTAAGAACAGCTTATCTACTTCATTTGCAATATTTCTAGAAATGTTGGGATCAAATCCCTCATTTTTTGATTTCTCATCAATTAATACCTCCTGTGGTAAAATCTCATTTTCATTAGCAGTAACCTATTAAAAGTTAATAAAATAATAAACTTCGTTGGTTATAGGTAGAATAACATAATAACTTAATTACATATTTAATTTACTAAAAAGCAATCACTACAATATAAAAGTAATATATTTTTAATATCCGAATGAGTAGAAAAATTAGATTTTCTAACATTTCGTGACTCGGTGTAAGGCACTTCTTCAGACGATAAATAAATAAATAAATTAAATTAACCCAAGCTCAAATAGTGCAAAGGAACAAAGCAAAGAATATTTAATACAGTCAATCAAAAACAGATCTGACCAAGTCATTGTTATGTCACTCAGATCAAGATGATTTTTATGAGAAATACTTGCATATTTATTTGTGTTGTTAGTTTTTCTACGCATCGGGATATTATAAATGCATTATCTTTATAACTAAAAAGTTACCGAATACTCAGTTTACTAAAAATCATCAAGTCAAACTTTAGTAATGGTATATATAAACTCATTGATAATCGAATTCAATTACTTAAATGTAAATGCAATTGGTATAATCATATAATGTTTAATAAACACTGTTTACAAAACAATATTATCCCCAGGTCTCTGCTTGTTAAACCACCAGAATGTTCCTGATGATCTCTTGAGGCTTCTCGACTCACAATATTTTTACAGGAACGTATTCACAAATGCACAAACTTACAAGAAGAATACCGTGAATTCATCAAAAATCTGGATGATCTGATAAAAATACTCCAACAGGTTCTGGAACATAGACATACTTTTCGATGTTCGACTAAAGTTGTATTCCTTAACCATAAAGTGGCGCCTAACTCCGTTTACCGTGAGGTTCTGTGGCAGTCTGTCAATGAAAAGCCTGCCAAAGAAACACGTTAACCTTATATAGGCTCGCTCTATTCGAGCACAAATGGTCAAATAAGAGCTTATGACGATCAGTCATCGGAATTAATTTCTTCAAGTGATGTTCGTCAGGGTTTTCCTTTTCCCCCATTTTTGTTTAACTTTGTCATAGATGTTTTTCAGAGACAACACTTTCATCATCTGCCTTTTCACAGGTTGATGTTCTACGAGTATATTCACTTCATGACTTAGAATACACAGATAATGCAGTCGTGTTTGGTGAAGACTCTGGCGAAATGTAGTCTTTTAACTACGTTAAGCCGCAATGGGATCATGTTCGGGAAGCGGCAACTTTAACCGATGTACATACAAACCAGGTTGTACACTGTGACTGATTGAACGACTTATAAAAGCTTGCCGAAAGAAAATGAATTTACTTTGAGCTGTGCCATGGAGTACGAAAATATGAACTGATATCAAAATTAGCTAACACTCTTAGCTATATGCAGTTGACTAAGCATAGTCAGAAAATGTTTTCTATAAGGCCTACCTGTTCTAATACGGCATGAAGTATTAGCTCAACGCTAGTGCTTTCGATTGGCAAACCTTGAAGTATTTCATTATAAAACCTCATATCAACGAAGTCTTCTGCTAAAATATCACCACAATCTTCAGATTTTATTGCAGGTTTATCCATATTATCTGGATGTAAACCGATTGTTGGTTTAGACATTTTTAACAGTTGGTTACTATTTGCGGAATCATTTTCATTCAATAAAGGAGGGCATATAGGTAAATGAATGACTTTTATATGTTCTAAATAGTTTTTCCATTGACGTCTAAAGTCTATCAGATCATACAGAATAGTAGATATTTCATTGAACATTGTGGCTCCAAAAGATGCCTAAAAAAGTGAAAATAAATAAAGCATTATGTCAAGCGTCACATAAAATGCATCAAAATAAAGTGATATTTGAGTAGTTTCACCATAAATATATAATTATTGGATACGCATTGAAAACTGAAATAGCCTTCTTTGTAAGTATCACTACCAAGGTTTGATTTGATAGTTTCGAATAAATTGAGCATTGTGTAGATTGTTATAAACAAATAATATATTTGTAATATCCCAATGAGTAAAAAAATTAGATTTTCTGACGTTTCGTGACTTAGTGTAAATCACTTCTTTGTAGAATAAATAACCAAATTAAAATTAATCGAAGTTTGAATAGTACAACCAAACAATAAGAATAATATTATCTAATTTTTCTACTCATTGGGATATTACAAATATATTATTTATTTATGAAATAGTCTTCCTACATCAGCCATTCCTTATCATTGATTTTTTAACTTGACTACTAAACTCTGAACCTAACTACAGGCTGGCAAGGTTTTTCATTTCTGTTTGACATTTTTTAACGTCGACGAAGGTTTTTCGGTGGATTTTAATGAAACCTCGATTTCTAATTAGATGTTAGTATGATTTACTTGGTAACAGGTTAATAAAAATTTCAGTGTCAATGGACTAGTATTTTACTCCTGGCACAAATAATCTTATTAAAGTTATTTTCCAAAGCTCTGTGTGGTATGTGTAGCAGGACAAAATTCGAAGGAGTCAAACTCAGGAGATGAATAATATCCGAAGCAGGTTAGTTTGCAACTTTACCATCACACAATGGTGAATAGGACAAATTTTTAAGTATTAGTTTGTTCACAGTTCACGAAGTAAAATAAAAAGGATTAGAATTCATGTTAAACTTCATTTTAGGCGTGTTACTAGTCCTAAAACTTGATACTAATGGTTGTTTTCATTTATTTTTATCCAGATTTGTGAGTGATAATGTCGATACATGTATTCAGCTAATGACAGGTTAGTATTGATAAATTTGTAGGTGAAGTGTTGTTTGAACCTGAAACCTATTAGTAATCACTTAATTACACTCATAAATACATCACCTGTATAAGAAACTGTTGAAGCCAAGTGACTAGAAGTCTGTAATCTATAACTTTTGTTGGTTAGCACCTATCAGCAAGATATATCTGTAATCCTTAGTATGTAACATTCCACTAGTTATCCAAATCAACAACACTCTGTGCTGAGAACATCAAATCTGTTACCGGTTCAATTTTGGCCCAGACGTGAATTTACGATAAAGTGTGAATTTCCCCAAAGTAGTAAATATGTAATGGTGTCGAGTCAGAGCGTACAAGAAACCTAACTCCATTCCATAAGCTTAAAAAGTGGATCAAATTATATAAACTACTTATGAGTAGCAACTATTTTAAAGATATATACAATGGCTTAAAATATAAGGTTCTTTTTGTTAGTTTTTCTGTTAATCAGTGAATAGAAATACAATTGAAGTGAACGAACACACGGGTGTGGAAGACCAAATTATTGTTTAATACAAAATTACAGAGTGTCTTCGTAAAGTATGAAAACCATACGTTAACTATTTCATTTGCACATCTTCCATCAATTGTCTCGTAGAAACTCCATTGCTCCTTCGTTCCCGTTGTTATCTTGATTACTTCCGGTTTTCTTCTGTATTCTCTTCATTTCAGTCCTCTCAGTCTTCTTCTCGCAGTCATTACCTCCCGATAGGTGCTACATACTACTAATATCTGTCGAAATAAGTAGCATACGCCACACAATGAAATAAGTTGTTATTTTCAAGTTTAAGTTAAAATCTAGTTTACGGGAAGTCAAATTTATCCTTGAAATTCCCTCGCCCTCCAGAGGTGATTTTTTTACATCTTGTCTTCAGAGCAGCTATGAAAATGTGAAAGGAGAACGCTCTTCGTGAGCACGAATAGGCATGACCTTATCCCTACTAGATGAAAAGCAGTGATTGACTTAGTCTACTTTTATTCTTTGTCGGTCACTTGTTTAGATATAAACTGTTTTCTCTACACACCCATACTGTCATTAGTTTTATCTTGACTTGTATATTCAAGTTTGTATTATTTGGTTAACCTTTATCGTTTGTCTTTGGATTTCACCACATCGATGTCACTTTTCAGGTGAGTGGAATTTTTATGGGGCATAGATCGTCATGAATTATTTTACGAAGATTCATCAAAGACAAATCTTAGATTTCAACTGATAACTCAAAAACTTTCGTTCTTGTAAAAAAATTGAAGTTAAAAACACATATATAACTCAAGTAATATATGGCTGTCATCTCACTAAACAGTTTTCGATACGTTCATTTCACTTTTCAAACATATTTCATATTTTCGTCAGCTAGTAGCCATAGGTATAATTTATCCCCAAAGTAAATCCCTTTAGATTATGTGCTCATGTCAAATTATCTTCAAATTATTTTATTTGGTACGCAGATTTTTATTGAGAACCTTCATTTCATCATTGCAATACTTTATGAAAATTGTAAAACATTTGAATTTCACATTCTAACGATGTAAAGAAGGCTAGAATCTGACATACTGCAACTTTCCTGAAATAAAGATGACTTTTGTTTTGTGCAAGAACTGAAGTTCTGAATAATACCTGATTCAGTTTTTGGCTAACTGTTCAAAAGTCTTTCTTAAATGGATAGTACCCAACCGGAACGAAGAAAACCTATTTTCTGCTCAACAAATTATGAATATTGATGATAAGTAGAAAACCGGTAGAATACATTTGATACATTCAACGCTGGAAAGTTGGATAACTAACCCTGTTTTCCGCCCCATTAAGGTCATCAGGAAGTAATTCTGTTTTGACATTATAATCTAACGTAGCGACATTCCCCAAACGTTCATAAACATGATCTCGCATCAGAATACTAGTTGTACGCCAGTACTGTCTTAATTGTTCTTCTGCTAATAATAATGCCTCCTCTTCAGATCTCATCTGCTCCAAATCTTGTTCACCTGGAAATTAAAATAAAAATGTGCATATGATTTCATGCAGAAATAATTATGTTGGAGGAATGGAGTGATAACATTCAACTTGTTATTGGAAGAAAGCACATATTTTAACTTATAAATATATTCCTGGTACTAATGGTTTTTTATTTCTGGTTTATAAAATTTGATTATGTTCACATATAATGTTATACAATTAACCATTCTAAACTAGCTTACTGTATGCAAAAATATGATAACTAACAAATCAACAGAAGTTTTTCCAGAGAGCCTATAAGCATAAATCAATAATTAGCTATATATCTCGTCAAATAAATCCAAAAAGTATAACTTACTTTTCATCAGGAACTATTAACTAACAACTGAAAATCAATGAGTATTAGATATCTGTTTTGTGATGAGAACTGAATAGCCTCCGTTCTGCACGAATAGAATTTACAACCCTGTGATTTTTGTATTTTTTTAATCATGAACATTTTTTCTCTTATTTTTAAAAATGTTGTGACTCTGTTTCATCTAATGAATGAATAGTTTTTAAAGGAAGTAATTGGTAATTATTTTTTAAAGAGTAATATAGGGAAAAATAATTCCTTCAATTTCGTGGATTAGTTGAAGTTAGACATTAACACCGTTGGATGCCGGCTCAGTGGTCTAGTGTTTAAGAGCTCGCGCGAGACCATTAGCTCCTGGGTTTGAATCCCGCGAGGCGGGGTCGTGGATGCGCACTTTTGGGGAGTCACACAATAGGACGAAACGGCCGTCCGGTGCTTCCAGGTTTTCCATGGTGGTCTAACTTTAAATGACTCATGATCTCAACAATTGAAATTACTAAAATCTCCACAAAACCCCCTTCTGATTCCTTTAATATTTATTATTTCTGCGACCTTCGCACGTCAATAATTTACTTAGCGTTAGCTAAGTGGTTTGCCAATCTTAACTAATAGATATAAGTTGACAAGTTTCAAAATATTGTTTCCTGAAGCGTTAACTAACACGGAATTTGAAACTGTTAGACGACTGTTTACTTCAGAAATATCAACCATTAATGTTATAAGCTTTGTGTACTCGTCTTATCGTGAGCAGATAAATCTTCAGGAAGTTTTCAATATGTCATACAAGTTGTTCTCACAGTTTAATCTCCCACTCTAAAATGTATATAACTATACAAATGAAATGTAGGGTATAGCGGCAAGCTGTGCACCATGGAGTGATATAACTAACATTAAATGGACATTTAAAATTCTTAATAATAATTTAAAAGTTTCTTAGCATAAAGTCACCTTTTTTGCTTATTAAATCTCTTTTCTGAAGTAAGATCTAAATTAATAAATATGAAATTGGTATCAGACTTCTTCAATGTAATTTACCGACTCTTACCGATATATTTATAAACAGATAATATTTCCAATCAAATATGAAAATATTTTCGCTTTTAACCCAAGAAGCTGTCCTGTATGTTATCTATGCATCACCTGGGGTACTAATACAAATACTTATTGACTTGAGTCCCTAAAAATAGTCGTGTTTGGCATAAAGTATCAACAAATTTATAACTCGTTTTCTTTATTCTCGTGTTTCTCAATTCAAGACTAAAGCAAATCACGAAATACTTCACAAAAATGTATGGATTTAGTTCGAGTTATTGTGTGATTATTTTTAACAGAAATTATCTACACCTCTGATAATAATAAAGCTTTTCTATAACAAGGCGAATACTGTTAAAGTTATAACTTTTAGACCTATTTTTAACAGAGTTGTTGTACATAATTTCGTATAACTGTAAAATTAATTATTGTATTTTTATGTTTCCCTAATTGTATGTTCTCGTTTTACATATGAGTGGTTGCTATATGTTTTACTATCTCACTATTAGGATTAATCAACTGTTCCCTTTTCTCTCTGATTTTTTTTCATTTACAACTTAGCTGTGTATATATTGTAGTTCCTAATTTGTATTTTTGTGTAGTGTACATTATCATACGAAAGTCTGGTTAAAGATTACAATAAAACAATGAAGATGCGTGCTCACTAACTATTCCTTTTGATTAGACACTGACCAATCAAAATTATGGCTCCCCAGTTGTTTTTCTCAGCCACTGATTCATTAGTCAAGAGGTCATTACCTCACTTATTAAACAGGAGATCGTTAAGCGACAGGCAGTAGGGTGAATAAATAAGCGAACTAGAAAAATCAATCACTCTCATATTTATAAAACTGATTGAGCGCAAAAACAAAGATAGGAACGTGTTTTGATGACGCAAATAACTCCATTACTTACATCCTTTGGAACCCCACATTTTTTCAGCCTTCTGTTTGGTGATTAATATTTGAAGTTGTTTTTGATCATTTACATGTAAACGTATAATACTATGAATGTCTATTTTTAGACGACATAACTCTTCTAAAAGTCCACATTTTTCAAAATTAACAAGAAGAATATATCGATTGATTCCATTATCTGGTTCATCACCTGTTGGATTTATTTGTTAAAAAAATAAGTTTTAAAGTAAGAAAACACTGTTAAGAAAATTCCGGTACAAGTAAACTACGTAGCAGTTCTTATCGATTTTTCTTTTTTAAATGAATTCCAGTCGAATCATTTTATCAAAAGTGGACATGTTAAACTATTATTTATCTCAAGTTGAAATGTCATTTATAATTATTTGAAACTATCATAAAGTTTTCTTTACTAGTTTTAAAGGTCTATAGTTCCTCTCTTGTTCATATTAGAAGTCAAAATGATCATTTTGCACTGATACATAAGTCTGTTTAATGTATTTCTTCACATTTTCCGGAGTTGGAAGTAATGCTATATTCAAAGTGGTGAAGTAAATACTGAATAAATAGAGATTGAACTAAAGTATGTAAATGAGTAATAGTCCATTTGTGTCCTGGCAGTATAAAGCCATCAACTAAGTGAATGTAAGGGATCAAATAGATGGCCGTCAATGCAATATTCAACATTAACTGTAGGGGTTATTAAGACCACGAATAAAGATACAAATTATGCATTTTACCAAGTTATGTTTCTTTAGTGTCGAGTTCTAATTATTTTAGGATCAAAGTTAAGACCCTCAGGTCTTAAGACGAATACCTTACAATCGATCTATGAATAAATTGATACTGAAAATACTGATCACTTAAAAAATACCAATAAGTTCAAAGAAGCTTATTAATTATAAAACCTGTAATTTTTGAATAAAGTTCTGAAATTATCGACGAAAGCCTGCCAATTCATGTTGTTAAATTACATATAACTATCTAATTTACAGTGAAAAATAAATTACCTTTGTTTTTGTACTATTCTCAAGCAGCTCAAGTGTTCGGAAAAGAATATAAGTGAGGAAGGCAACACACATACATCTATCTTCAAATTCACATTTGGCGATATCTGCATATATCGTGTATAAAATGTATGCCAATTATCATAATAAAATCAAAGTAACCATTTTGGGACCCTTATGAATATTAAGTTTTTTTGCTTTTAACACTCCATTGGTTGATACAATTTTGTGAATTAAAAAGATTTGCCCAAACTTTTCGTGGGACAGAGTAGCTATCGTTTTTCGGTAAAGTCGTTTGCTATACAAAATCTTAACTCAAAACAACGGCCATAATCGAACAAATAAAAAGAGTTAAGTAAAGGTTCACTGACTTTGATCTAGATTCGAGAAAAACACCATGTATACTAAGGATGAAAGGATGCTACCAACAAACTTTCACAAGTTTTTAAAAACACAAAACACCATCGTGTTTACAACATGATGTAGTGCAATTGTCTGAGAGTTATTCACTTACCCAGGTATTTCTCTTCTAATGCTTCTTCTCCACGTTTATAAAGTTTACTTTTCTCTTTGTTTACTGGTGGCTCTTGTGACTTCATGACTTTGGCACCAGATTTTTTATCTTTCGGATTTTCTTTCTTCTTAGTATCTTCCAGATGATTAATCTTTGGAATTAACTGTGAGATGGATGTGAAAAAATCCAGTTATTTGCAATGTACTTCATATAATATAAAACTCAAGATTTACTTCTTTTTTTAAATTGAAATTAGGATTTGCATTGGTATTTTACGAGGAAATTTCCGCAAAATTAAATTCACAAACGGTTATATGGATTTTACTGATTTACGTAGAAACGATTGTAGTTTTTTAAGACATAATAACTAAAAAGCTGTTAACAAATTACTCTTTAGATCATTTATTAATACTGGTCAAAGTTAGCAAATCAACGAAAACCACTGAAGAGTTAAAACTTGATTTAAAATTTATAAGGTGTATAATATGATACTAATTGGGGCAAATCTACCTATACTTTAAAGTTAATGACTCAAAGCTCCAGAAACATTGATGGAATACTCAATCAACTGAATAGAGACATTATTTGATAAGATATTTACCTAAAATTAGTTCGCCGCATTCTATGATTTCAGCATTTCACTTCTCTCTATATTCCACACCTTTTTCATCAGTATCCCTACCGTTTATTTCAAAGCCTGTCGGATGTAATAGGTCGCTTTAATGTATGTGGCCTCTTGATTCATATGTAGGTCTGTTTGTCTGTCTTTCCTTTCAATTACAAAGTATTTTTAATTCAGCAAGCGGATGTGCCGATATATTGATTGTTTCAGTAGTAACACTAGTAAGTCTATTTATTGGTTAATCAGTTATTTTTAGGTCCCGATATGCATAATGAGTGGTTACTTTGGGATCCATTTGTGGACCAATACTTAACGTATATTTTTATCGTATAATTGTCAAATAACTAAACTATTCATATTCATATTTCTCTTATTATAAGATTTATTTTGATCTATGGACCATTATTATGCGTTTTACCATTCTTGAATTATGCCCTGTCTATTTGTCACTAAACCCCTTATTCACAGCCACTTTTAGTCAAATCTTGTACGAATGTTATTTTTTATTTTATGGCACGTTGTGGTCTGTTTGATTGGTACATAAACTTAGTATGTTTGAAATATAATGATTCATATCGCTGAGGTCCGGATTGATGTTCTGGACTTAACTGGCTGGGCCCGACAGGAAGCGAGACCACTAAGGACTCTAGGCTGCTTGTACGGGGTTTTACGCGTCATTGATCCGATCGATAAGTCATTGCTACCTGAGTGACGGTATCATTAGTTATCCATTCACGGGACACACAAACCACAAGTTATAACAGTTATCAAGTATCTTAGATCATCTGTTCTTCAAGTACTCAACATAAAAATAAAAATCCATCAAACTGAAGATCTAGTCATCCAGAACATATTCCGGAAGGGCCGGAACTTCATAAAAAACTTACGTATTACCATTGTGCAGGGACAAATAAAAAACCTAAATAACAAGCGCACACAAAATAGGATCCTTGGGTAGGAATATCTTGATTTAGACCAGTAACTCTGTGGATAGCAAATCAAGATATATGTCACTTTAGTATAAAGTTAAGCAATTACATGTTGGTAAATAAACACTGAAAACAAGTCATTTATTCGTAAATTATTATTTTTTCCCGATGCTTATCAATTGGAGACTGAATCAAACCATCCTTTCATCTGATTTAATTAGTTAAAATATTGCTAAATGTAACGAGGTATTAGTCAAATTACAGTTGTTTTCAAAATGCCTATGGTTCTTTATCAACAACTTTGGCAGACTATTGATATTTGCCAGTAGTTAAAAGCAATAAACTTCCAAAAGATTTCACAGAGAACAATTTTCAACATAACTGCATATTACTGTCAGAAGAACTTATAAACAATTAACAACTGAAATTTATTTAGACGTTAAAATGAATTGAGGATGTTATTTACAATTCAGTTTATTTTTTAACCTAATACTTATTTGATACAGGACTAAGTTTTTTGAGAAGATTTACTTGCCGACTTCATAAATGAGTGGACAGATAGATAAAATGACGGAATACTTATTCACACAACGATGGTTAATGGAATAAAAATCAAAATACAAATGTTGGTCAGGAAAAGACCCGCAGTGTTAAATAATGATAAGAAGTGAATAGTAAAATTAAATTTTAGAACTTTGTCGTAGCATTTTTAGTATTTAACTGTGTAGAATTCGGTAAATGATATAAGAGTGTTGGATGTCTATATTGACTAAGATTATTTTCATACATATGGATATGCATCCCCATACATTCAACACATTAGCTTTGGAATAAGCTGAATACTCTATAGAAATTTGAGGAGTTTTATGAAAGCGGCTGTTGTAAAACAGTGCATAATCACGAAACAAACAACTAAAGGACTTCGATCGCCAAACCATTTAAATAAAATCGCATAGAATCTATTGATTATTACTGGGAATAAGTAGCTGATAGAAGACTAATGAAATATTTGCTATGTTTATAAACTTTCGAAAATACAACTTAGCGCTTTTAATCAAAGCAGATTCAGCAGATGTAACCATACATCCTCAATATGTAGCTGAAAATCAAACAACCCACTTTAAATGTAGTTTGATAAAATATATATAATTATTCCAAATTCTGGTCTAAGGTAGGGGTCTTACATGTGTGAACTTGGGTTACAAATCAAAATAACCCTACGCTGTTACCCGATCACCTTTAGTAATAACAAACCCAATCTTTTTGTGCGCATTCTAATATTGCAATGATTGGCGAAATGTTCGTCAAAATATAAAAATATGCATGCAACAACTTAGCTATCTAGGCTCACCCAGAACATGGTATGCCTTTATCTCACAAAAAATAGCACTCAATAGAAATGTGAACTGATAATATATTAATGTTTGCTCAAAGTTGATTTCTTCCTGTTTCATTAACATGTGGAAACGGACCCTACTAAGATTTTGCCAGTAAACTGAAGTTGGATTCAAATATATATAAATATCAGGAAGAAAGGTATTTAAATTCTTTTCGATAACTTTTTGGTAGATTACTGAGGTGAAAAGAACCTCCGTGAATATTTTCAAGATACCATTATTTAACTAACTTTTCTTAATGACTGCTGCTTAATGTCCAGTGTTTTTAGGTTGTTGAACATAAATTTCAAAACCTTTGAAAGTGTCTGTGGATTTAATTCATTGGCAGTATCAATTAGGTTTTTAGCTACATTGCAAATCTCAAAAAACTCCGGAGCATCCTTCTGACTTTTGGTTTTACATTGAGTGAGAATCTGATTTAGGACATCTTCGTATGTTATTACCGTGAATCTTTGACGTTGTCCATTGACGACGCTTGCAGCTAAAATTGATATAATCTCATTTTCCGCTAATAGTGATGGTGAAAGAATGGACAGTGACATTTTCCATACATCCTAAACACTATAAAAATTTCAAGAAACGACATACATCGTCCAAATTGAGGTCGCAGAGTTTTGATTCCCAGTCCGAAACGCCTATTGAGGCTCTTGGTGTTTTGCTTTTAGTATTTCTAGCACTTCTTGGCATTTTCAAAGTCGAACGTATTTATTTACATGACGATTACCTCAAAATTAAATTTTCTACGTAGACAAACAAATCTGGGTGTTCCTCAGATCTGGCTTCTATTTTCAATTAAATTACCAAGTTCTACTTGAGGAAAACATACTTAAATCTTTTCTAACAAAAGGGGGGATATTATGCGTGCTGGAAAAGTTAGATCTTATACTTCTTAAGTTTTAAATTTTCAGATTGATCACCTAGTCTTATAGCTGCCGACAATCCTTTCTCTTCAGTATTGAAAACTAATTAAGTTTGATGTATGCACAATGAAACACCATGATATTCATATCTGGTTAATACCTAGACACGGACGCTGTTCGAGGTCATGTAACCACTAGGTACATGTACTCTGTTCAAGACGTTTCTCATGCAACGTTTATGTATATGTGCGGGGCGTTAGTGCACCTATGCCAAACACTGTGCAAGATAGTAGAGTGGAATGTAGATTCCATATCATTCAGACTTCCCAAATGGACTATCGAGTTCAATGAGCTAAGAGACCTCCTGCTAAATTGTGCTGACAATCAGTATAAAATTGATACTTGTGCATAATATGATCTCCCAATCACGGATAAAATGCTCTGTCTGAAATGAGTGTTTGCAAACGAGATGTCGAAGAAAATCAACTTGATGACTTCCAGGTACGGTGGTCTTGAAATGTTTTTAAACCTTTTAGTGGTAGATCTTCCCTCAGAGATTTTTTACCCAAATCCTCATAATCTCAGTAATAAATTCCATTGTAACATTTTGTGTTATTTCGTATCTTTTATTACTCGTGAACTACTTGATTATATTTGGCTGATGATTGATAGGAATATACGTTAACAGGTGCGTACTACCACTCTAATTAGATAGCGTTTGGGTATAAGCTTCTTTTTTGACTTCGATGAAAAGGAGACGTATTTCTGACTTCCCTTTAAAGTACAGATCAATATCTGTCGTTAATTCTCCCAGTAACTTCATAGTAATTTTTTGGTTTAAATCCCGATAAATAATAAAATTCCTCATAGTGGAACATGCTCTTATACTGGATGCAACTGATCCCACACATTATTTCACATGAAGTGGCGAACTTTCGGAATTAAGTGTCTGTACATGAAACTAAAAATAATTCTAGCCTTGTTATGTTCACATTGCTTGCTGGTAATGATCACGCAGTTTCGTCTTAAGGTTTTAGAGCATATTTCGTAGTTTATGATGGGGCTAAACGTGAATTGAGTGTATGGCGAGCGGACATGTCGATCACTGATCAGTGTAATGGATCTAAGGTCTTTAACTGCCATGGTATTTTCGCAAAGCATTTTCAGTGGTTGTTATATTTAGAGCTTAAATTCCTAATATACCTCAATGAACTTGAGCACTAGAAAACTACAACCTTGAAAGTCGCAAATGAGAAGACAGAGGACAAGTGGATGGAATGCAATTCCAAACAGTGTCAAATACGGTACAAAACCATCAGGTGTTCATATTTTTTTAGTAAAAGCGAAATTATCATTAAGGTCATCCGAATCGCATACAGGGAGTTTTAGCATTTGTCCAATAGAAAAAGCTATACGTAGAGATTATGGAATATTCTCCCAAAAGATGACTGGATGGAATATCTTTGACTCTTTCTGAGCTTCTTAGAGCCTCTTTGAGTTATACAGGGATAGTCTTCACACTGGTGATGAAAGATCACTTAAATGTCCAGTGGGAGAATGTTTGGCGATGGATCTGGAAGCAATTTGCGATATGATATCCATTCACCGATTTCAAGGGTCATGACCCATTGCTCCGTTTTATTATGCTGAGTAATACATTTGAACATGTATATCTTTCTGTTGACCATACCCGTACAGTTAAAAAATCAATTAAAGAGATAATTCACGGTATTATTTGGCGTGACGTGAAAATTTTGGCTCCTGAGGTGGTGATTTAAATCCGGCAAACATTACAAAGAGTTTGACTTCGGCACTAGGTTGATATGTCAAGTTAGTTGAAACAGAACTTTGTGGATGTGTCCAACAAGTCCGAAAACCGACTGGGAGGAATAACATACTTGATTTATTATTTACAATCAACAGACACTATCTCAGTGCACATCATTCATGAGGTTTTTATGAGGGATCGTAGAGTTGTATTGAGTATTATTCATTTCCTTAACACTATACAAATGAACTATGAATCCGAACTAATATACGAGAGCAGACAGTTTGATGAACAAACCTGGAAGCGCACTGAAACTCTTATTCGAAGTTTACCATCAAAACCTTACTTTACCACGAATAATATTGAAGCTGCACTTTCTGATTTATACCACAACCTGATATATTGCCTTGACTGTACTGCCTCGATTATTGGCTATGTGGCTTATGACGCTAATAGAAATCAGAATACTTTTAAAACCTCCAAGACAAAGCTGAAAAATTTGAAACACCGCTACCGCGAACATCATGACGTGTATACATTCTAGAGTATACTTAGCTTGATCGATAGAAATGCTTCATTTTAAAAAAAATAGTAAAAGCCCAGCGTTATCAATACTTTGGCCTTTCAAATCCCGTGTGAAATCGAATTCTCTTGGCACGACTAAATTCTTCATAGTTAACGGAAGCATTGTCGACGACAATGATACAATTTGTGAACAATTCAGCCAGCATTCTTGCAATGCTACAATACTAAAACTGAAACTTCTACCAATACAGTTCCATTGCTGACATCTACCCAAAACTAATTTCATATCCACCAACATCAAGCAGGTTATAGCTTACTTGAAAAGTCTTAATATGGTGAACGTAATAGGATTCCTTCATCTTTTGTGAAATATAGTAGTAGAGAATTCCCATTATTTTGTGTAAAACTGTACAAACTATCTATGGAATATGGAATTTATCCATTTGCATGGAAAACATCTCTTATCAGTGTCTCACACAAACTTCTCCTAAAACTTCCTTCACATGATTCATTTTTTTATCCTGGCTCAAGTCTTTTTTTAGCAGAGAGGAACCAAGCCGTCCGCTTTGAATATTGCTACTTACAGCCTGTGAATGTAACCGGTGAATATACAAGGGAGCGTGATTGGTCCATTGTTCTTTCTTCCTTTCATTAACGACGTGTGTTCACTCTTTCAGTACAGTAAACCACTCCTTTTGCCGATGAACCAAAAGTGGTTTATTTACTCTGTTCTTCCACCAAAGAAAGCTACATTTCAGCGGTAATCCAAAAAAAGTTAAAAAAGTTATACAAATAAACTGTTTCGTGAAATTCGCCACTAAATGTTGACAAAAGTGGATTTATTCACATTGGCCGCTGCTTTAAACTAGATCTGGCTATTCACAAACACACACTGAAACATCTCAATACTGTTTTTGACTTGGGTTTGAGCGCATCGCATCTCAAGAATCCAAAGCTAGAAAGCTCAATGTATTCATAATAATAAAAATCGGTAATATCGAATCGAGATTATTATTAGAAAAAAGTATCCCATCCATCCCTGAATTTAGTATTTTAGTTTGAAGTAATTGAAGCCATAATTATCTAAATAAAATTGAAGGTGTTCAAAGAAGGTTCATCAAAGCTGTTTTGCGATATTCCAACAACAAGGAATATCACGAAAGATGTCAATAACTCAAATTAGAACCTCTCTGGATCAGGCATATTAAAATTAAAACTTGTCTTTATCTACGGCTTATTAACGGCATTTCTCATCATTTGGTATCCACAGCTTCGTACTCAATGATGTTATATCACAACCTATGCAATAAGGAAAATATCCCAGCGATTACAAGAACCTACACAAACGCCAGAACGTTTTCGTTATTCGCTACTCAATCACGTGTAACAGACTGCCAGTGAACCTTCGTCTCAGTGAAACTACAATCCAGTTTAGAAATCTCCATGATGATTTTCTTTTCGAAAGTGGATTGTGTCAGTGTGTTTACTGATGATTCATACAAACAAGGTCTGTCATCTATCTAACTGAATGAAAAGCAAAGTGTAACCTTTGAAACTTTATTTTCTTTCTATTCATCTCTTATGTTCACATTTATGATCACATATATGACAAATAGAAATTTATATTTGGTTTTCCTTCGCAATTATTTGTGACTTTCATAACATCACTGTAAATTATTATTTCACAAAAGTTTATAATAATATCAAGTTTTACTCTGTATCGAATCACGTACACTTAATTGTACTTACCCGAGTGAACTAAAAACATTTCAAAAAGTTAGTGGTTTGCTTTAAGAGTCTATATCCATTACACTCTTACTGTCATGATCAATCCTTTCACTAGATGTTCATTTCTTGCCTCTCCATTCCTTTTAAATAAATATTATTTTTAAGTATCCGAAGTTTGTAATTGACATTTTCAGATTCATTTTATCTTCACCACGTATATATGACTCATACTTTTTGATATTTAGTTATCCTTTGCACTTAATTGTGACTTCCATGACATCACTCCAAACTATTACTGCACAAACACTTAGTCTATCTTCATGTCTTATTTTCTTCATTTCATTTTGAATCTCACTTGACGATACATACATAGTCGTTTGTTCAGGTTCTGTGTTCACAAGCACGCACATTAAACTATTTACGTATTTCGCGGATCTTTCATTTCTATTCCCTTATTTTCTCCCTCTCATTCTCTGACGTCAATTCAATATTCTTCTCGATTACAAAGAACCAGGTTTTTTTATTATTATCATTCTACTATCATTATGCCTTTTTTCCCTTTTACAAATGATTCATATATAATGCTAACATTATCGAAACTTGTGTATTATTGCAGTTTTGAAGGAACCCGAAATGGTTTATCAACATAGGCTGTTTTTTAATAATAACTTTAAGGTTGCATATTTTCGACTGGCATTTCCAGAGTATATGAAGATCAGACCTCTGTTAAATATGGAAACATCAATAGATCTTCGACACAGCCCATCGCTTAGGTTTCGTGGTAATTCTGATTTGTTCTCTCCCAC